GGATCCCCAAGATAAATGAGCCAATAGCAGGTGACTTGGGCTTGAGTTAAATTGACTGACTGAATGCATGCTCACATTTTTATTTTTTGCCACACAAGGTCTACTTTCAGCACAGGTACAGGTAAAAGCCAGAAGAAAACTCTGTTCTCAGCTGTCCCAGCAGCCTCCTGGGTGATCAAAAGTGATTGTGGGGCTGTACTCCATTTTACAAGCCATTCATCAGCCCTTAGGCACTGAGGCTAGGTCTTTACAGAGCAGGAAAATTCTGCAATCCTGTATTGGACTTTGCATCTCTGTACTAATGGTAAAAAAGAAAAATAATTTGTTAAGTCAACAGGCAAATCCCAATTACAGTTCCAGAGTAGGCTTCCAGTCATGCCTAAGACTTCTGTAAAGTGAATATCACCTAGAGTAATTGTGAGGCTTGCCAGTTTGACATGAAGTGCATGTACTTCATAGACTGTCTAGAAAAGGTGCATAGCACAAAATGATAGTGCTGAAGGAATTGATTCCAGTTGTGGACTCAGATCAAGACTCTGACTTGGCAAAGTTTGGGCAAAGTACCTGTGTGCTTCTCTAAATGTACACTTTGTGGACTCTGTAATGTCAGGCCAGCAAAGACCCTGAAACAAGGTGCCCCATGGAGATAGCTGGGAAAGGATTTTGGAATAGTTTTAACCTTGTCACTGCACTCTTTCCCATTCCTGTCCATATTAGTATTCACAGAACAACTCTTTGCTCTTACTTGCAGGTTTTTATTTGCTCTAGATCAAAAACTGCAAATATCCATGATGCTGTTTCCTTGTTTCTTAGGGTTTTGAAAATAATTTCCATGTGGCTTTCCATGACTTGTGCTAAGTGCAACAACTACTTCTTGTGCTTTTATCAATGTTAAGTGTATTCTTTTCTCCTATTTCTGCAACAATGACATCTGGCATCAAGTAACACTACACATCATTAGCTGAGGAGCTCAGTGTTTAAGAACCTGGAATAAGAGCAAACTTCTGAAGTCAGGATGTGCATTAGCTGGTATCATTTGCTCACTCTTAATTACCTCTTCCCTTATTTGTCTCTCTTTAATAGTATGCCAACAACATCTTCTAACCTCTCACTCAGTAACTGATTTGTCAAGACTATAGGTATCATTTATTCCTAAGCATTTACATGTTTAGCCATGGGGTGCAAAACTGCACTAGTAATTACAAAACTGTGGATCTGGACTAATTCCACGAAAGGGTTTCAGGTTTAAATTGACAGATTTGTTCTGCTGACTGCCATTCATGTACCAAGCCAGGTACTTGTGTCAATCTGCCTAAAGTTGAAGTTTGTGTCTGGGGATGCTGACTGCCCTTCATGGGGAATCCTGTGCAGAGCTGTGCTGCCTTAGTCATGCTGGAATCTCAGCTGCCCCACAGGAATGCAGAAGCAGAGGTGCTTCACTGTAAATTGCCAAGAAGGGCAGAGGAGTGTCCTCGCTTATTCCTCTGGTCACTCGGGTTGCACAGAGCACTTGTGCTTTGCTAGGACAGTGTGGATGACTGTCCCTTTTCATCAAGGCACTGTATGAAAGCAGAGGCTGGGGAAGGCCAAACTTGGTGTACCTGAAGGAGTACAGAAAGAAACATGTCCATGAAGCAGTTGCTGACTGCAAAAGTTTGCATTTTTCCTGAGAAATGATCAGTCAGGGAAGAGTTAAACTGACACCTTCTCTGGCATCTACCTGCATTTGCAAATAAATCAGCCATAAGAACAACTTAGACAGCCTCCTCCTACATGGCTTCTCCACTAAAAGACGTGGGAGAACGGCAGTGGCGCTGCCTGTTTTGCTGCAACCCTGTCGGTATTTCAGGTATTGTGCGGAATTTCACCAGGTCCTGTGCAGATTATGGTGCTTTCAGTGCAATGTTATGCTGCTTCTGAGAGCCTACACTGACATATCACAAGCTGCTTTGCTGGGGATGGCTTGAACTCCAGGTTCAAGCCCACATTTGTGGCTTGGTGGTGCTTGGTGCTGCAGGTTAGAGACAGTGTTTCAAACAGGCCACAGTGTAGCAGCACCTGCTGCAGAAAATGTGAAGGATAATGTACGTAGCAATGCTGTCTTCCCTGTCATTCTCAACAGAATACCAGCTGGAAGATGATTCCACTGATTTGCTTCTCTCCCTTTTGGGACAGCACTGATTTTGAAATATTTTGCCATGTAAGGTCTTTATAATACATTGTTTATACCAGTTCTGGATGTGACTCCTCCTTATGCGGAGCTTGGAAATTAAACTTGCTGCATTTTTGGTTGAGCAGTAAAAGGAAGCTGCTGATAAATCTCTATACATATGTGCCCCAAGAAAAGAGGTTTGTTGGGAGGTGACAGGGTTAATCTAGCAGCACACAAGAGAGAACCAACACTTTTTTGTACCATGTATCTTGACTTATTCCATTATTATGCCCCTTTACATTTAAGACTGTTTCCAGCCAGCTTGCTACTAACCAACCTATCCATGTATGAACTGCAGTCACTGCAGCAATAAGTACTACACAGTCAAAAACATTTAAAATAGCAAAGCAAAACAACTTCATAGAACTAAACCAAAATGTCCATCTCAGCAGTACAGGACTGTTCTTTACAAACAAGGACATAGCAGGTAAGTCTTTACTGTTAACAAACCCAAACAGCCACATCTGAAAGTAATTGCTTGACATCTAGAGATCTGCTCCTACTGTAAGACCACAAGATCAAATACTGCTCTGAAGGTTATTGGTATCAAACAAAACAATTGTAAGGATTGTTATTGGTATCAAACCAAAACAACTGTAAGCATTTTGGAGAGCCACATCTCAAGGAAATAAATCACTCCTGCTGTTCCGAATGTGTCGGGTCGCTGTGCCTGCGATGGGGAGTCGCTCTGTTCACACACACAGCTCCAGCACAACAGGCTGGAGGATCCAGCACTGGGGCTGCTGCATACATGCCATGCATTTGCAATTGTAGAGCAGCCAGCTGCTGGATGCCAGGCATTTGGAAAAGCACTTGATAGCCGTGGCAATACACAGTTGTCTCCCTGAGCTCTTCTTACAGGACAGAGGATCAGATTGCATAATGCAGAAAAATCCCATATTATAAAGAATATCTGGCAATGGCAATGTTGCCTCATAGACCCTGGCTATCCTGTTGGAATGGGAACCAAAAATCTGGACCCTGCAGGCTCATATCTTGAGTTAAATTGTATCTGTTAGACAGATGCTAACCCAGGTCCTCTGGGAAAGAAAGTAGGGATGTAACAGAGAACAGAATTTGTCTTTCAAGAGTTTGGAAAGCCAAATTCTACACAATGCATAGTGTTTACTATCTGCTGCTGACTCTGCCAGCAAAGGGCAAGCTGTTTATCCTATTGTCGCTCTGTTTCCCATGTATACACTAGAGATTATCCACTTACCACTGCTGAAACACACTTGGAGGTTGTAAATTGGAAACTTCTGGATGACAGGTCAGTAACTGTGATTTTGACTGTAGCAGCCCATGCAAACCTGGATTAAACTGTGTTGAAATACAGGATGCAAATCCAGAGCACGTCCTGAAGAGTGTGCAAAGCATAGTTCTAGTCTGCACGTGGTACAGAAGCTAGTGAGGGAATACTGAAGTATTTCTTAATAATTTATTGAAATATTAAATTACTGGGCATATTAATTTCTATGTTGAACATATCAGGTCAGGGTTTGATTTTTTGCAAGTCCTATTTTCTGGCTCAGGAGTGGGTTTTACTGCTGAGTTCCAACATGAGTTAGGAAAATAGTGTTTTTCTACCTCTTTCAAAAAAATTGTTTCTGTGAAGCAGCTTGGGCTGGAGTCAGTGCATCAAATCCTGAATGTTCCATCCCTGCTCCTCTCTGAAACTCATGGTGTGCCTGGATGTGACCACATGAGTTTAGATGGCAGTCTCAGTGCTCCTGGGGTACCCAGGAGTCTGAGTCTGGATCTGTGTTACTCCAAAATGTTTCCTTTGCACAGCAGAAACAAAATGTGCGGGCAATTCCATCCATCAGCAGTAGAAAACTCCTCCTAAAAAGGAGGGCAGGGAGTGTTTCAGAGAAACAACCTCTCCCCCTTGCCAAGATGGAAGGCTTTTAAACCTCTGTGCTGCAATCCAGACTGCGAGGAGCTCCTGTCCTGCCACTGCTGCGCTGTTACTGTGGGCAGGACCAAGAAGCCTTTGCATCTTTAAAGCGCTGATGCTTAATTCGTGGGGCTGTTCCTTGAGAGATCTGGCCAGGTCTGGCAACCTTGCCAACATAACACCTTTTTTTGGAGTTAAACAGGACAAGGTGGTGCTGCTTACACGTTGCCTGGTCTCTGATTGTCCAGATTTAGACTATCTGGGGAGGAGGGCATGTGAACAGTGTTCCTGCCTCTGCCTTTGCCAGCTGTCCCTGCCTTGCCAGTGGTCAGTTCCCGTGAAGTCAAATAGCTTGGGTTTAAGTTTAGGGAAGATGAAATTGTGCTGCAGCTATCCAGAAGACAGCGTTTTAAAATCCAGGCCTTCAAAAGTCTGGCTCAGAAACCCTGCCAATCTGGGGGCTGTAGTTATTAATTCCGTTATTTTGAAGTCTGCCCTCCTGTCACGCTCAGGAACACTCCCCAAAGTCAGAGAGCGCTTTAAAAAGAATCATAGCTGCTATTATTATTGTATTAAACATAACTGGAGATTCCCATATGCTGCCGTGCCTGCGGGAGGTGGCCCCGGAGGGGGACGCGGTACCCGGGCAGGAATGGCAGTGACAGAGACGCGCGGAGGATGGGAAGGAGCCGCGAGGTCCCTCGTTGCTCGGGGCGGGGGGGACCCTCCGGCGGGGCAGTGCCCGGGGCGGGGGCAAACGGGGCGGGTGCACAGAGCCCGGCCGGCCGGAGGGAGGGAGGGAGCGGGCGGGGAGGAGGCTGGGCCGGGCCGGGCCGCCTATTTGAGGGAAAGTAGCGCACGGCGGGTGCTCAGTGCCGGCCGCCGCGGAGAGGCAGCGGGCGAGCGGCCGCCGGTCGGTGCCCGCAGCCGGCGCGGCGCTGCCCCCCTGCCGAGGACTGCCGCGCTCGTCGCACGAGTGGCGGCGGGGGGAGCCGCCCCGCGGGGCCGCCTCTGCCCCTTCCCCGCCGCGCCGTTAATGGAAACATGGCGATGGCGGCTCCGACCGGCAGCGCGGCGCCCGTCGCCCCGGCCCTCTGCGGCCACCTGGCCCTGCTGCTGCTCCTCGCCGCCCCCGCCGCCCACGGCTACAGCTTCCCCCAGCAGCACACGTAAGTGCCGCCGCCCCGGCCGGTACCCCCGCCCCGCGGCTCGGCCCGGCGCGGTGGCGCATCGCGGGGCCGTCTGCCCGCTCCCCCTCCCCGCCGGAGCGGCGGGTTGAGGAAAGGACCCAAAGTTGCTGGAAAGCACAAACTTCCCCGGCGGGTGCCGGTCCGCAGGGCGGCTGTCGGAGCCTTAATGTGGCGAGAGGGGGGAAAGACCAAAAAGGACTTATTTTCCAACCCCCCCATCCTCGTTTCAAGCACACAATATGGTACCCACAACCGGCCGTGCACACCGGAGTTTGAGCATAAACTAATAATAGCTGGATAGTTCCACAGGCTATCCGAGCTGGCGGGTCTTCCTCTCCCTCCCTCTGGAGCGACTAAAATTGACTGTAATGTACTGAAAGAGAGTCGGAAAGCAGCTCGTTTGGGTGAGGGGGTGGGGGACTGGAGAGTCGCTGCAGGAAGGATATAAATAGATTTTTTTTGAAGAAGAAATTGCTTTAGAAGTTAATGTTTGGGAATATTTTCTGACAGGGATGGCTCTCTTGCCTACCGTGGTAACCCTAAACCTGTCCCTCTCCACACATCCACGGGAAACCTTGCTGAGATGTATTTTAAGAGGCTGTCATCTCCGTTATGAATTGCTGAGGTTTGTTGACACAAAACTGAAAAAAATCCAGACAATTCGAAGTAAAGGCTGACACCGTGTCCTTACAGTCTGCATTTCTGAAGGTGGGGGAAAGATTTCAATGACATAGAGTTAATAATAGCAGTGTTGCCCTTAACTTTGTGCTGCCCCAGTGGATGTGCACTGCTTTATGTCACAGTTGTCTTTTGTCATTTGTGATTTGCTTAAGAATAGAAATACATTTCATATGTATATATATATATATATGTCATAGGAAGTAGTTTTGAAAGCCTTTTAGATTAGTGTCTTTGATCTCAAAGTACATTTTTGCAAGTATGTAGTCAGGCCTTCTGAAAAGAAGGCTTATCGGCAGAAGAAACAGTGTTGTTTATTTCGGAGAGCTGTAGCTTACTGTGTTAATATCTGCCTTCACCAAAGGAATGGTTGCTTATTCCAAAATCCTTCCCATTACAACAGATTCCTTCTGGATTCTTTTGGGGCATGTATTCATATTTTTAAATATCTTTGACCTTTGGGAGCCGATGGGTTCCCTTTTCCTGCTGTCACGTAAATACACAAATTCTTCAGAATAAGACCCTGAGAAATGTCTACCTACAGGGGGAGGAGAGGAAAGGGAACGTGCCAGTTCTCGTCCAAGTACCACAGCCTTGTGGCCTGATCCAGCCTTGCTCTGCCATGAACGATCTCTGCTTCCATGAGAATGCCTAGAGAAGCAAAGGGGATTCTGTACGTCATGCAGCACAGCTCAAGTTTGTGGGATGTTTTTGATATTTCAGCAGCTTTTCATGGATTGCAAGTTGTTGCATTCACTTATTAAGTTCAGAACACAGTATCAATTTATAGAATAAATTTCTTTTGGGTACCAGTTTGTGAGTCAAAGCTGTGTTTTCTTTCTAGCAGCAGAAAGTTTTATATGAAGGTTCTTCTACGAGAGAGACATAAAAAGGCTTATAAGTTATAAATAATGTGCTTGCATTCCCTCACCCGATGATCTATGTTATTCTAATAAACCATGCCAGCTTTTTAACCAAAGCAGTCTTATTCCAATTAATTTGGTGGGGTTTGCTAGAATAAATTTTGTTAGCTCTGTGCTCTTATCTGAGGTTTTATCAGAGTGGGCCTGATCCTGCACTGAGGCAAGATAAGCAAAAGCTGAAGCTACTGGCAAAGATCCATAATTTCTTGCAAATACAGAGGAATGATCCTAAAGAGGCCACTAATTGTGTGTGTGTGTGCCTCTGGTGGGAATCAGTGCTGTCTGGCTGCATCTGGAGAAGAGACACAGAAGGGACGCAAGACCTCAACCTGACCTGATACCTTCTTCCTTGTTTGGTTCCCCTCATGACCTGCTCTGTGAACCCAGAGAAGAGAGGAGTGATGAATGGATATTTGATGATGATGCACAATTGCTGGGCAGTAGGTTAATGCTGTAACCTGTGGGTTGAAATGCCTGGTGAGCTCTGCCCTAGGGCTGCTGTGATTATTTCTTTCTTGGGAAGGAAATACTTCATGGGAGTAAAGAGTGCGATGGTAACTGGCACCAAGGCTTGAACAATCCCCTGTAACTGACTGTTCCCCCCGAGTAGTTACCTGTTTGCAGCCTTCTTGATTTTAAAGAGGCTGGATATAACTTACATTTTTTGGGCCGATTTACCGGGAGCGAGTTGAGCTGATGAGATGTGCTGCTGAATTCTTCCCATTACCAGCTAATTTTCTCCTACTGTGGACAATGCACCCTTGTGAATGATTCAGAGCATTGATAGAAATATGTTTGTCTTTCAAGGAAGTCATCTTTTACTACAGGACTCTCAAAAATGAGGCTGCTTTTTTAAGCAGCCCCAGAACTGTTTCATTCTGGCAAGCAGTAGAGTGAATGATTAGGATATCTTGCCTAAGCGGGGGGTGGGAAGGAAGAAAATAAAAAATATTTTTGGGTTTTATTTTTGTTTACAGTTGTATTAATTATTGTCAGTGTGTTGATTCTTGGTTCTGTCCCTGATAAATCGTTCTACATTATCTCTCTCCTCCCGGGTAGCATGGTTTTAATCATCTTATGCTGAGCTAAGGAAAGCTCAGCTCAGCCAGTTGTCCAAAGGGGAGTTTCTCATTGAGATTTAAAAAGCAAAATCCCAGATTGGAACAAACCCATTGGGGCGGGCGTGTTAGGTGATGGCCACTGACTGACAAGACTCCTTTTAGGAATTGTCACGTACAAGAATGTGCATCTGTGTGGGCAACGGGATTAATGGCTGTGGAAAGGAAGGCTGTTGCTTGCAGTTAATTTTTCTTTTAAATAGTACACAGAGGGATTCCTGTGGCAGCATGGTAACAACCTCTGCTTGAATTTCTGAGCAGTTTGGTATGAAATAATTGAAAGCCTGGTCAGTCAGGGAAGTCCTGTACCTGGATCGCCATTGCCTCGCGTTAGTGGAGATCGTGCACATCCATGCTGGGGAATGTGGCTGCCAGTGCTGCCACTGGGGAGCAGAACAAACCCCCTCCTCATTTCCAGCAAGGCTTTTAGTCACTTGGACTTGAAAGAAAATTGCCATCTGCTAGAGGGTGGAGAGCCATTTGCTTCTTGTGAGGAAGCAGGTGTGTGCAGAATTGCTGTGTGTCTGCTTGGCTTCATCGCTGCTCTGCAGGGCATCTCTGACCAGGCAGCAGAGAAGAAAGGTATGTCTGCAGGGGAAAGTGCCAGTGTGGTGTCCATGGTCCAGTCCTGCTTTTCCAACAGGTTTAGCACTTGTCAGATGTAGACAGTTTTGGGCAGAAAGCTGGAGGTGTTACCCCTGTTCCTGTCAGATAGTGAGCGGTGAAGGCTCCTGCTCAGAGCAATAAGACTTAATATCTTCCCATCATCACTGGAAGGTGGGCCTGAGGCTGCCTCATCCAAATTAGTTGCTTCTTTGTAGCAGATTTTGATTTGTACTTGTCATTTCACCCCAAATGAGGTTAATGATGCTGGTAGTGATAGCACATCTGGGCTATCAGGCCTTGAAATAAATAACTCTATTAGAACTGGATGCTTTAGGGTTTGCAGAATGCCACGTAGAGGAAGCTCCTTCTCTTGTTCTACTGACCACCTGCTGTGCAGTCAGAAAATCTCTTCCAATTATGGTTTTGATGCTTGGCATTGGAACTTGTCTGGAAAGGAGCAGAGAAGCTGGAAGATGGCCCTGCTTGTCTTCTGCTGTGCTCCACTAAGCAGAGAGACAGCTCCCTGGGAGGGCAATCTACCACCAGGAGTGACTGACAGATCCTGGCCCTCCGTCCCTGTGAGGGCTGAGCAGCCTCTGTGACAATGTGTACTCAGTGGAGGCACAAATCCCCAATGTCCCTGCAACAGCCCTGTGCAGGCTGTGCTTGGTGGCAGAAACCACTTTTGAGGTGGGCACAGGCACCCTGAACTTCTCAGAGGTATAAGAAGAGCCTTACAAAGAGGAACAAATGTTTTTTAAAATCCATTTGCAATATTTCTTGCTGTTTCAAAACAAATTTCTCGATTCCGGTTACCATTTCTGAGTGCTTCCTTCTCAGTTCTCACACAGAGAAAGAATAGAGCATTGCAGCATTCTTGCCTGTGACACCTCAACATTGTAACCTGCCTGCACTCATCCCCTTCAAGATTGTGGTTTCAGGAGTTTGAGTTTTTCAACTGTATACATTGAGAAATTGTTAATTGAAATTCTCTTGAGAAAGTGTGTGGGTTCCCACTGAAATCAATAAGGCTCCTGCACGTAGACCTGAGGGTAGAAATGGGCTCCTGCTTGGTGTTTGACAGGCGGAGTTCAGCAGCTTTGTTGTAAAGAAGCTTTGTGTGTGTTTGTGTGCAACAGCCCCTGAAAAGCTGAAAGTGGTTGTGGAGAGTCTGAATGGAAACCTGAACGTTTATCCCTGAACAGGCTGCCTGGTGTTCGGCTTCAAAAGCCAGCAGAACAGCTCTCGAGGGCTTGCGTGCTGGGGCATCGGCACACTGCAACGTGGAACACGTGCACACGCTGTACAGTCAGACAATGCTTTTTCACCCAATGAAATACTCAAGTGAGATGAAATAAAAGCAAAAGTCATTACCAAACAACATACTTGAGTGAAATATTCAGTAAGAAAGGAGGGTATCGGAACGCTCCAATATTAACTTTTCTCTTGAAAGCAAAATGTGTTTTGTTAGCAAAATTATTTTTCCTCTCTGGGGTGTTGATACTAGTTTGTTGTTTTAGAGCAGTTCCTGTAATCTAGCCTTCATCCTCGAGTTTATTGTTGCTGGGTTGCATGGGGAATGGGGTTGTACAAATTGTTGTTACTGCGAGTCAGTTTCTGTCAACAAGCTATTGGCATGGTTTCCTTTAGGTTG